TGGCAGTGGCTGTGGTCCCGGAGAGGGTCTGTGCTTATGGCTGGCTCTAAGACGGTGCCCATGCCATTAGAGCAGCACTAACTGCACTCAGTGACTTTGTCTCTATTTTTTTTTTTTTTTTTTTTTTTTGATGGGTGTTTTACTTACACGTCTGTGTACCTTGTACATGCCTAGTGCCTTTGGGAGCCAGAAGAAGGTGTCACATCTCCCAGAACTGGTGTTCAAAATAGTTGTGAGCTACCATATGGATTCTGGAAACCCATCTGGATCCTCTGTAAGAGCAACCAGTGCTATAAACACTCCAGCCATCTCTCCAGCCCTTTTGAGTTAGTTATGAAGGGGGGTTTGCTTGAGTGTCTAGAGGTAGTGGGGGTAGGCCACCTGTTGTGTGTATATATGTATGAATTCTCCAAAAACGAACGAACGAACGAATGAATGAATGAATGAATGAATGAATGAATGAATGAATGAAATAAACTGAAAACTTGACTGGATTTACATGGGTGAAATCTGGAGAGGCCTGTCTCAGCCTCTCTTCTAGGAAGTTTGTCCACCATAACATGGTAAGTACTGGTAAATTTTGACAGTGGTCGCTGTTTTACTTTGAGACAAGATGTTTGTTGCCAAAATCATTTGTTCAACAGATATTGAATGTGTTTTCTGTAACAAAACATCAACAGGAAGTGCCACATGGATGTCTGGCCCTTGCTGAGCCTGCAAGCAGGCATAGGAAGTTGGTAGGAGGGGAGGGAAGAAGACCTTCAGCACTCCTACCCCCCAGCCAACCACTGTCTGAATCATGAGAATGTTATAAGCACACGTCGTGCTTCTAGTTGAAATGGGAAGGGGAAGATAGATAAGTTGTAAGTTGAAGTGATCGGGGCTGGAGGGAAATGGCCTCGAGCGTGGCTTTTCTACTGTGGCTCCTAAAACTGCTGTCTGTGGAGCTCAGGCCCAGGGGGACTCAAGGAGGGGCCGAGCATGTGTGTAGGAAAGGGAAAGAATCCATGCAGAGCACATGGCCCATCCGGTGGTCTTGAGCCATGTTTTGGGAAATCAAAGCTAGTTAGCAAGTGAGCCACTTGGATTCTTGTAGGGTTCTGCAGAGAGAGGGTATTCATAAATCAGAGGGAGCATCTGGAGCATCAATTCATTCTGTGAAGGGAAAGAAAGATGAAAGTGTGCCGGTACCTGCTGAGACCTGAATGAAACTTAACATTAACAAAGGTAGACTCTGGGAGCCATGTCTGAAGATTTTTAGTATTCCATGAAAAACATAAGTCCTGGGCTGCAGGCATGCATGGCTCGGTGGTTAAGAGCACAGAGGCAGAACTATTTTATTCAAGGACACCTACTGTAAGCATTCTGTTTGGAATGTTCTTTAATTATGAGTGTTCGCGTCCATTCTGTAGCCCCTAAGAGGAAATATCTCTAGTTACAGAGCTTTCCCAGGACTAGAAAACTAATAAATGTTGAGCCAAGATGGGCCCAGGGCTTGGGATGCACCATGAGCAGGACACTGGGAAGCATGGGGATTCCACCCCCCAAGTCTTCAGGTGTGTATTATCTCCACAGTGCCCATGGTAGTCTAGGAGCGTGGGGACAACATGTTCTAGTGGCTTATTGCAAGGGTTTTCTTGAGACTTTGGTGGAGTAGGGTCTTGACGATTCACTGGGCATTTGTTTGCCAGAGCAGGTTCCGTCATCGTATTTGATTGCTTTAGAGTCAAGCATCTAAGCTTTTACACAAAACGACACTTTTCAGAAGCTGAGGTAGAAGTGTATTGTACACACGCGTACACACAAACCTGTTCTGAACACCGCTCGCCTTATGAAATGTTAGTCAGTACATAGCTGCTGGAGAGGGGGAAATGATCTACATAACCAAGAACATCCAGAGACTTCTACAAGTTCCAGGAAGAGGAAACTTGTGGTTGGCCAAGCGTGATTTCTGAGCAGCTTTACGGGGTTTGAATCCCAGATCTGCCACGTCCTAACTTAGTTTCTTCATGTTAAGTGGTGGGTGATTGTGTCCACATTGTGAGGGTTTTAAACCAGTCTGCTTGTTTGCAGAGAATGCGGAGCTGTTCCTGCTGTGTAGTGACAGCAGCTTTTGCTCATTTGTTTGAAATTGACCCAGATTCTTCATTACTTCCTTTAGGAGGTCATTGGGTCAACTTTCTAAAGAAACTACTTGGAGCCCTGTGCTGTAGCCACTGTAACCACCCATTGGGGTGTATGCTGGCCGCATACACCAGGAAGGGTTGGCTTTACGTGGCGGCAGTGAAGATTTTCTTGTTTGAGTACAAATTGTAAATGATTTTCCTTAATTATTACCCAGGCAAGAACACACAGGCAATTGTGTGTAGTTGAATCATCTTCAGTGTTGCAATATTGTAACCAAATCTTATTTGATTAAAATACTGCATGAAGTTGTATTTGTTCTAGCGGATAAATTATCAATTAGATGGTATTGGCAAATCCTACATAAAATTGCATTTTTCCTAAGGATATATTTTTAAATTAACCTTCATTTTTCTTGCTTATTCTAATTCTAGTTTTTCAACCACTTTTTAAGTCTCATTTAAAATACTGGCCTCTTCCCCTACTGGGGTTGTTTTTTGTTTGTTTGTTTGTTTTTTGTTCCCTCCATCTTTATCATCTTGCCCAAAAGGTTTTGGCATGTGGATCTGGCATGGCAGTCTAGTTTTGAAAAACACCCCTGAAGGCCTACACCTGAAGGCCTAGCTTGAGAATGTGAATTGAGATGATGGAGACTTTGTCAGAGTTGGAGAGAGTTACCAAATTCCTCCTCAGGGACCATTTCTGAAGCCTAGATTTACATTGCTCTATTCAGTCTTGACTACAGTTAAAGATCTTTCTTTTCACCTTTATACAGATTGATTGATTGATGAGTGACTGACTGACAAACAGACACTCTTGGACATCAGATTACCTAAAACCACTTAGCATCATGCATGCTAGATGAGTGAGGAGCTATAGCCCAGACCTCCTTATCCATCGTCTCTCCTTTATTCTGCTATTAAAGGTTAAGTTGTGGCGCAGAGCTGTTGGAAGCACCTACCTGGTCTCGTGTCTTCCTTACACTCTCAGAAGGAAAGCCCACTGTTGCCTGTGCCCACGTCTGACCCCTCCCCCTTCGGTTTATGGAGACAGGATTTGTTTTTGTAACATTCTGTTTATACAGGAAATGTTAAGGACATAGATGGATCGGTAAAGGAGTCGGTCTTTGAAGTCCCTGTCCCATCCCCAGTCCCCACCCCACCCCCACTCCCTGCCCACCTAGGGCATCTCTGTAGTTTTGGCTGTCCTCGAACTGGCTTTTTAGACCAGGCTGGTCTGGAACTCAGAGGTCCGCTTGCTTCTCTTCCTCTCGAGTGCTGGGGGTGAAGCGTGCACCACCACTGTCCAGATTCCCAATTACAGTTGGTACTGAGTTCTTCTACGATTGTTAGCATAACCTGAGGTCAGTACCTAATTTTAATCAACATAGAAAAGATACAGTGAGTGCCCTGCTGCTTCTCACCAAGTCTCTGTCCTCCTTAGTGATGTCTGTGACCAGTTATTTAATGGACGTCAAGACCGGTATTAGTGGGAAACTTTCTGAACTAATGCCCTATTCCAGAGCTAGAAATCAAACCCAGGATCTAACACATACCAGGCAAGCCCTCACCCATTGGCTATATTGCTAACCCTTTAAAAATATTTTAAAGATAAGGTTGGGTGTGTGTGTGAGAGAGAGAGACAGAGACACTATGCCTGGCTCATTTGGATTTAGTTCTTGTGAAATTCATAATGATTAAAGCTTGATAGATCTCTTTTAACCTAGGGATGTTGATAAAATTTAGGACAATAGATTTATAGCTCCGGGAAGCAGAAGTGTTTGAGTTCCAGACCTACCTTGGGCATTCTTGGTTGTTCATCTGTGTGTGGGGACAAAGAACAGGACCAGCAGATGGAGCCACAGTCTGCCTTTAAATTTGACGGTGCCATCATTACATAGAGGTGACCAGTCATTCCTGTTGCTTTCCCTGGACCCCTGAGTTCTCAGCCGGGCTAGAAGACTACCACTGAAGTCTCTGAGTAGGTAGGGATGGCCACCATGTCACTGCTGCTCTGACTGGTGGCTAGTGTTCAGAACAGTGCTGCTGAACAGCACACAGAAAGTAAGTATCTAAGCCTCTCGTGATTGTCCAGTTGTGGCCATTGTCAGTCACACAGTATCTTAGGACTTTGACCTTTTTTTCATTTTCCGAGACAGGGTTTCTCTGTGTGGCCCTGGCTGTCCTGGAACTCATTCTGTGTATCAGGCTGGCCTCAATTCACAAAGATCTGCCTATCTCTGCCTCCCAAGTGTGGGATTAAAGGCTGCACCACCACACCTGGCTTTGAACTTAGGGGTGTACCTTCTTCTCGGTTAAAAGTGTGAGAGTTCTGTCTGTCTGGTGGATGGTTGGGTGGTTCCATGGTTTTACTGTGGGCCTCTTCTCGTCACTTATTTTATGGGAGCTTCCTTACTCTTACGAGAATAGGAAAATCTTGTTGCCTCCCAATAGGTGTTGCGTGTTTCCCAGCCCCCTCCCACCCTTCCAGCAAACTTAGAATTCCAGCAGTTCTCTCATGCTAGAGGCTTCTGTTCTGCCTTACAACAAACTTAATATTTTTTCTTGGTGTAAGTTAGCTCAAATAATATAGATCTAAATGGAGTACGGTTGTGTGAGCTAAAGTGTGCTTTTAATCTGACCACTTAAAGTTTTCATCTGTGTCTTTGGGGTATTGGTTTCATCATTTAATAGTTTAGTTGCCATGGAGGAGAATTGGTTATGTGGCCTGCCTTATTTTCTCTGGACATATGTTGCAGTCTGTTTTATTGCATTGCTTTGTATATAATTGCGTTTGTTCTTTTTTACATGAGCGCTGCTCGCCTTCTTAAGGTACACCAGATCAAAACCGACCATAGTCTGTTTTCTGTGTTGTAGGACCTCTTCCTGATGGATGGGAGCAAGCCATGACTCAGGATGGAGATGTTTACTACATAAACCATAAGAACAAGACCACGTCCTGGCTGGACCCACGGCTCAATCCTCGTTTTGGTACAGGGTTACCTCATAACCTTTGTGGTCATTTCTATGATAGTATGGGGCTGGAGGGTTTAAGAACACACGCCTCAGGGAAAGTGCACTGCCTTGTGGAAACCATGGCTGCACGCCAGCTCTTTCCTTTGCTATGTTTTTTGTGTAAAGTTGAGAGCTCTGGGTCCAAAACCGCCTTCTTCCCTGGTTTGGGTTGTGGGTGCTGTAGAAGCTCCTGGCTGTAGTCTCTGCCTGTTTCCTTCATGTGGTGATCTTGGAAACAGGCCAGTGCTCAGGCCTGTCTATGACCTGGATCTGCTTTCCACAGAGATGTGTCTGCTGGTGCTTGACCGAAGGTGGGACACTCCCTGAACACCAGGCTAAGTCTAAGGAAAGCATTTTACAGCTGTGTGGGAATTTGTCGACCTTGTTTTAATGTTAAGTTCCTTTCCTTCACTGACGGGCAGGGCAGAGCCCTCCTCTCAAATGCGCTCATTTTGGTAAGGGTCTCTGTGCCTTGTCTGAATACCTTTTAGTCCATATTGTCCGCATTTATTTTCTGGTAGTGGTTTTGTCTGTTGGCTTTCTGAATCTCTTTCCAAAGCATGGAAAATGAGTCTAAAAAGGAACAGATAATGTGGTTTGAGCACTCATCTTGGCCAAGATGCTGCTTAATGGAAACAACGTGTGGATCAGCGGGTCAGAGGCACACGGGCAGGCGCAGCCTTTGAAGCTTCCCAGGGGCCCGACCTGGCCACACCATAGGCTTTACTGGAAAGGAGAATTAACCCTGTGCATGCCATCAAAACACAGCCCTGGGCTGGGTGAAAATAAAGAGTCTCCAATACAGCGCCCCCCCCCATCTGTTTACTTGGAAACAAACGACAATAAAAAGCAGTGTTTGCACTAGTTACCCCCACCCCCAAGAAAGGACAGAAGTGGGTGGGTCACAGCCTAGGCCGTCATTTTGACAGCTGGTTTGGCTCAAATATGAGCTGTTAGAGCATCCAGACCTGTTGTGGTGTTAAGAAAGTAATGGACATGTTAGCACTATACAACTTTTAGATCCTTTTTAATACTTGAATGCTGCATTAGTATCCTGGGCGATAGCAGTCAGCCATGTTTCCTTAGTCATATTTGGTGATTCAGTTCATTTGCCCTTGGGAAGCTTGGAAGAATCGTGTGTGTGTGTGTGTGTGTGTGTGTGTGTGTGTGAGAGAGAGAGAGAGAGAGAGAGAGAGAGAGAGAGAGAGAGAGAGAGAGAGAGAGAAGAAGAAGAAGAAGAAGAAATTGGTGAAAACATTAGCAGTGAAGGAGAGAGACTTGGCCGTTAGCCTAGTTTATCTGGCGATAGCACCTACCGCTGGGTCCTTTAAGGGAGGTTGGGTATCTGCGGTGGGGACCATACGCCACACACAGGCACGGGCTTGTATGATGGAGGCGCCAACAAAAGGCCCCTGCAGTCCCCGTCCTTCACCCCTGCTTTTGGGCCACTGCGTATGTGTATTCCAGACAGGCTTGACTACACGCCAGAACTTTTTATTTTGTGACCCGACTTTTAATCTGTTCCAGACCTTTCAGTCAGAGCTAGAGCGTAGCTCAGGGGGGCTGGGGAGAAGAACCAAGTGTACTTCTGGCCTAGAGTAAGAGCAGAGAGCGGCAAGCCGCCAGCTGCCAGAGTTGCCTTCAAACCCTGAGTTCACTACAGTGGGTCATGTTTTATCGCTGCTCCCTCGTTTCTGACTGCAGCCATGCGATGCAAGCACATGGGGTCAGGTGTTGCCTCCATTCCTGTGGAGTTTGCCTGTGTTTCTGTGTTCTCAAATACAGTTGAGTCTTAGCGAAGCCGAGTAGAACTGTGTCTGAGTCTTTTAGAGTGGAGGACAAACGGTAACCTATTACCTGTCCATCTTCTCACGTTTGTATTCTTCTTTCGATTCTTCTTATAAAGTAACCCTCTTGGTGGTGCTTATTGTTCTTGGTGTTTCGAGACAGGATTTCTCTGTGCAGCCCTGGCTGTCATGACACTTCTCTGTAGACCAGGCTGGCCTCGAACTCAGAGGTCCACCTGCCTCTGCTCCCGAGATCAAGGGTGTGCACCCCTGCTGCCTGGACACACCCCCACCCCGCTTCCTTTCTTACGTCTTTATGCTTTGTGTGGTTAGCGTGCATGTATGGAAGGTGCTGGTGGTTAAACTCGGCCGTCTGCTGTTAGCTGCATTAAAGAATATGCAGTGTTATGTAGTACATATACTGACTCCAAATTGTTTCATATTTTGGGCTACAGAGGTAGACAGTTCGTGAGTAAAGTACTTTTAATGTAAATATGAGGAGCCCGAGTTTGTTTGGTTTGTTTGGTTTTCGTTTTTCTGTATTGTTCCCAGGCAGGTCTTGCTGTGTAACCTTGGCTGGCCTGGAAATAAGGGATCTCTAATTTTGCTTCCTGAATTCTGGGATTAAAGGTATGCACTTTCACACCCAGCTTTTTATTTAACCCTTTCTTTAATTTTTATGTCCTTTTTTTAAAAAGTGAATTGATTTTTTTTTCAAATTTTTAAAAATTATTTCACATGTATGAGTGTTTTGCCCGTATGTATAACTGTGCACTGTGTGAGATATCAAGCGTACAGAGAAAGAAAAGGAAAACAAATTTGTAAGCTGAGACCTTGTATGTGGTTACTTCTCAGCAACTTTATTCTGAAGGTCCGCTGGTCGCAGCTGGGATTTCGTCCCAGGAGGAGGCAGGGTCTGTTGACCTTTCATCCAGAGATAAGCTCTATCTGCAGAGGCCTTTCTGGCAAATGCCACTGGCAGAGTTGCCCCCGCTGCCTGAAGGTGGTCTGATACTTGTCAGCTTACTTTCTATATTTAGAGCCTACGTGAGACCACCATGACAGACAGACAGCTGCTGTGAGCCCTGCCGGTCTCCCACCAGAAGCTCTTCTACTTAAGCCTTTTTTTTTTTTTTTTTTTTTCCTCTCTCTCTTTGGTTTTTCCAGAAGGGTCTGTGTCCTGGAACTCACTTTATAAACCAGGCTGACCTAGAGATCCGATTACATCTGTCTCCTTAGTGCTGGGATTAAAGGCTGCACCACCACCGCCTGGCTGACTTATACATCTCTTGACATGAGTTTTTTGACATATAAGATTATTGAATAAATATCCAAAATGGTTCAGGGACCAGTGAGACAGCTCAGTGGTAAAGGAGCTGCCTGCCTGGTGATCCGAGTTCAATCCCCAGGACCCATGGAGTAGAAGAAGAAACTGCCTCCTTTAAGTTGACGGGCGCACTTTGGTACAGCCAATAAATAAACTAAAAACAGTTTAGGTTTTAGGCTTGATGTTTTTATTCACCAGGGTGAGTAGGCGTGTTATTAAGTGAATATAATATGTATAATTTCTACATGACACATACTGAGTGCTAGCTTTCTACTTCAGCCCACAGTAACCCAGAACTCACTACGTAGTAATAAGTGTGTGACCTTTATGCTAGCAGTCTTCCTCTTCTCTCAAGTGCCAGCAGTTGCAAGCTTGAGCTACTCCTATACACTGGCATGTTTTTAAATCCAAAAGCTTTCTCAGTGAGTTCGAGGACAGCCAGGGCTGTGACTCAAAGACACCGAAACAAATCCCAAAGCGACCCAAAGCATGGTAACTAAGTTTACTTGTGATTTGAGGCTAGAACTGTGGAATGTGTCCACATATACACAACTTTTTAAGTTTCGGGTTCTGGTAGTATTAACTTTACAATATGCTAAAGCTGGAGTAGTAGTTGCTTAACAGACTGGACAAAAAGGGAAGAAGTCTCAAACCAGGGGCTAGACTGGGGTGGCTCCCTGCATTTGTTTCAACAGTTGTCACTTTCTCCTGTGGCCCAGCTTACCCCAGAACCTCTGAGCAGCTTCAGTCTATCCCTGCATGCCACCAGCAGCATGAGACTAATTCAGGACAGGCCAGAAAGGGGATGTGAGGAAACAGGCCAAGGAAAAATGAAGGAAAGGAAAGCAAGGTACCATGGCGAACCATCCTGTGAAAAGACAATGCATTGAGTCAGGAGTCCACAGTGTGAATGTGAAGTGTGGTGCCCTTCTCTCTGAGAGTGCCATCGTTTCCCTGTTCTGGAGAAACAAGCAGGTGGGGACGAAGAAAGCTGAACCCAGTTAGGATGCATATCCCCTCCATCCCTCACTTAGCAGCCCATGCCCTTACCCAGAGTGCAGAGTGAGCTCTATCTTTTCTGTGTCTCTTGACAGGTTTCTCTGTGTAATCGCCCTGGCTGTCCTGGAACTCTCTTTGTATCCAGGCTGCCCTCAAACCCATAGAGATCCGCCTGTGTCCCAAGTCCTGGGACTAAAGACATGCACCACTCCCACCGGCTTATTTCATTTTTTAATAGAAGGCCTTATTCTCTGCCTCAGTCCCCAGTACAAGGATTATAGGATACACTGTGTACCTGACTCTGCTGACTTTATTCTCTTTTTTTGTTGCGTCCAAGTTGTGTTGTTGGGACAGTGTGTGTGTGTGTGTGGGGGGGAGGCAGATGATGAACCACATGCCGACCATAGTCTTTTGAAGGTTAAAAGGGAAAAATAGATTGATAGAATTTCTTGTGATATTTTAATCAGTTAAAGATGGGAATCGTTGTCTGGCTGTGATCGGTCTTAAATCCTAGCACTTGGGGTTAGGGGCAGGTAGATCTGAGTTTGAGGCCAGCTTAGTCTACAGGGTGTGTTCCAGGACAGCCAGCCCTACAAACTGAGGACCTGTCTCAAAGGGTGTGTGTGCATCCCTTCATGATAATGGTCTTGGAGAGAGCGTGGATACCAGGAACATACCTAAACATAATAAAGGCAACATACAGGAAGCCAACAGCCAACACCAGACTAACGGAGAGAAACTCAAAACAATCCCACTGCAATCAGGAACACGACCAGGCTGTCCACTCTGCATGTCTGTTTGATATAGTGGGTCTGTCTAAGTCAGTGTAAGTGTGTGTAGACTGCTTCTTCCTGGTCCTTTGA